ATCACTTCATTCATTCATTCTCTCATTCATTCATTTGACCACCTAGACTTCTGCCCATCCCATCATTCATTCATTCATTCATTGACCACCTAGATTCCCATCCATCATATCATTCATTCATTCATTTGGCCACCTAGACTCCCATCCATCATATCACTCATTCATTCATTCAGCCACCTGTACTCCTGGCCATCACTTCATTCATTCACTCATTCATTTGGCCAGCTAGCTGACACTCTCCACTAGTCTAAATTACCTGTGCATTGCCTTAAGGAGAGTGCTGGTTGTCAGTATCACACCCCCTCATCTACAGGGACCCTTCTCAGGCTCAGAACAACATATGAGCCCGAGCTCTGAGGTCTCCCCTTCATTCCATCTGAGCCTCCATTTCTTCACCCTAATAAGCTGTAAGTTCCCCAAAGGCAGCAGCTATGTACTTTTAAAAATGTTACATCCCCAATAACTAACAGTTCTTACACACACATTTAACAAACTAAATAGAGTTCTGGGTCTACAGTCAGGAAGACCCAGGTTCAAATCCAACCTCATTTACTAGCTGTGTGACCATGGACAAGTCATTTAACCTTTTTGCCTCAGTTTTCTCACATGTAAAATGGGGATAATAATAATACCTACCTTATAAGGTTGCTGTGAGGATCAAGTGAGATATTTGCCAGTACCTGACACATAGTAGGTGCTTAATAAGTGCTTTCTACCTTCCCTTCTACTCCACTGCTTCTAGCAGGTCCCCAAAGGGCAGACATCTGAAGGAGATCCAGGTGCATTTCCAGCCCTAGCCCCCCACCCCCGGAGTTGGCTGTTGGGCGAGGGAGGTCCGGCTCATTACCTGTCCACAGAGACAGCGGCCAACGTGAAGCTGCTGGTGTACATGGTGAGATAGATGAGGAGGTGCACAGCCTTGCAGGCGAAGGTCCCAAAAGGCCAGCTGTCCAGGGTGTAGATGACAGCCTGGAAAGGCACGCAGCACGTGAGGAAGCACAGGTCAGCCACAGCCAGGTTGAGGATGAACAAGTTGGTGGGGCTGCCCTTGGATGGCCCAGGTCTCAGCAGTCCGGCCAGCACCAGCCCATTGCCAACCGTGCCCAGGAGGAAGATGAGGGCAAAGACCACGGGGACCACAATGCCCACTGCCCCGTGGGTACTTGGGCCCTCCGAGGATACATTCCATGTGTTGGGCATCTCCACATCAGTGGGGTGGGGAAGAGAGAGGTCGCAGCCCCACTGTCGTCTGCCCAGGTCGCGTTACCTCTAGAGGATTGGGTCCGATTCTGGGGGGGGGGCACTATACCTGAAATTGGCAGAGAGATCAGTGAGGGGTCTAGGGACCCTTAACAGGTATGATCTTGTTGCCTGCAAACCCAAAGAAGGCAGGCACCTTAGGAACGCTTCTCCTTACCTGAGGTTAGCAGTAATGAGTAGTGATGGGAGTAGGGAGGACCGAGCGCTGGGGTAGAGACAGTAAGGCTACCCCTTTCCTATTCTCCCACCACCGGGTTGGCCAGGCGTGGAAAGAGGGAGATGGTCATTTGGCAGCTGCTCCCAAAGCCAGATGGCTGGCACATCATCACCCCCAGCATCCTCCCATGCCTCCTTAGGCTTGCTTGGGTTACCTCACCTTCCTGCCACAGTAGGGGTACCAAGCTCAACCCTTAATCTCTCTGGAGCTGTACCCACCCGATCTTTGAAGCAGAGAAAGGGAAGAGATAAGAACCCATTCCTGGATTTGGTTCAAAACCAAGGCAGAGCGGATGTCCTGGTTCAGAATCACCTCACGCCTTTCCTTTGCCCCTCATCCTTCCTCTCCCCTTAAACCATCACCCGGTTAATGTCTTCCCTCCTTCTTCTCAAATTACTCCCCTCTTCCTACCTCCCCTCTCCTATGCTCTTTTCCCCCTCCCTCTTCCTCCACTACCTTCGCGCCCCCCTCCCCTGCCCCCGTCCTTCAGTTCTGCCTTCCTTGACCCTTCTCTCTTCCTCTTTTCTCTTTCCCTTTCCCCTCCTGCCTGTTGCTTCTTCCAGAATGGACTCTTACTCTCTCCATTCAGGCAAGTGGTTCTTCTCCTTTCTCAAATTTTCCAGGGCATCTCTCTTCTCTCTCTCTCTCCCTCCCTCTCCTGCAGAGTAGCCCATTCATTCTTCTATGTCTGACACTGGTTTGGAAGTTAACCCCTCAGTGTCTGCTTCTTGCCTGGTTTTCCCACTGTGTGCTCCCTTCCCCTTCCCCCCTCTCAGAGCCTAGAAAGATAAGAGAGGCTCAGCTCTAGACAGGTAATGGGAGAGGATAGGAGAGGCTGACAGCCAGGATGCCTGAGTTCACATTCTAAATTTGGGTTGAGTGGTCATGGAATCACAGAATCTCAGACTTGGAACCAACCTCTGAGTTCCACTCTGACCTGGGCAGGAATCCCCCGTGGAGGATTGCTGACAAATAGCCTTCCAGGCTCTCGGTGACAGTTTCTCTGAGTTCACTTGTCCCTAAGGTAGCTCATTTCCCCTTTGGACAGATTTAGAAGGATCTTTGATCTCACTGATATAAACATCCGTGCCAAGGGCACAGATTGCTTGCCCCTCCTCTGGGACTCTTGTCCATTTCTTTCCATAAATCTACCCCCGACGGTCCATTCAATGTGCTCCACATTATGTGGATACCAGTTGCCCCCTGTTCTCTCTTTGTCCTAGTGCCTGACTGGTCCATTCTATTTTCCATTTTCTTTCCTAAGTTGTCATAAAGAGGCAGTTCAGCATGGTAGACAAGAAAGGTGGCTTCATAGGCACATAAATCTACATTCAAGACAGGTCCTGGATTTGCAATACTGTCTGTGTGACCCTGATGTGTCACTTGACCTCTCACTCTCCCAGGCAGCCATCTGAGACTTTAGGCTGTAGAAGAGAGGGCTGAGCCCTCCAAGCCCTAATGAAGTAAGTTTTCCACTAGTAACTCCCCAAACTAATGATATCGAAAGGTCCAATTAAAAAAAGAAAGGAAAGCTTTCTCTAACCTTGAGGGAATGCTTTGGTGTCCATGGTAAAGTGACTCTTGCCAGTAGCTCCCCTCTAAGAGTGCTAGTCATTGCCATTTGGAGAAGATAATATTGAGCTGCTCTTATGAGCGGGGGGAGGGAGCTCCATGACACGGTCAGACAATATCAGCTTTTAGTTCCATTTTCAGTGATCTGGGACCAACACAAACAGTAACAAGATTGTCGCAATAGCCCAGAGCCAAGAGGTTTGGAAAACCTCATTGGCTTGCGAGATGCGGAAGAGGGCAGTTTTCTCTCTTACCCCTTTTATTCTCTCCCAGCCCTATGTTTCCCCTGATTTCTCTTGATAAAGTCCAGCCGCAGCATCAGATCTGGAAATACACCTCCTTCCCCTCCCCTTTCTATGACCTTCTATGAAGGGTTACCACCTGGACATCCACCCCATCATCACTTGAAACTCCCCCTGGAGCTGGAGTCAGGAAGTTCAACTCTCATCTCAGACACTTACTAGCTGTGTTATCTAAACTCCCCCAGTCTCTGTTTCTTCTTTGTAAATTGGAAACCATCTGGAAAACGGTGATAATAATGGCATCTGCTTCACAGGATCAAATGCAATTGTGTTTGTATGTGCATAAAGTTAATATATTCATATATGTATACATTGTATATGTAAACATTGTGTATACACACTAATATATATCATGCATATCCACATACATTATATAGGTATATATTATTGTGCATATCCATATATATTATGTAAGTATATATTATTGTGCATATCCATATACATTATATGTATATATTATTGTGCATACATGCATATATATATACACATTGTGCATACACACTAATATGTATCATGCATATATGTATATATTATTGTGCACATATGTATACATTGTGTATACACACTCATATGTATTGTGCATGTGTATACATTGTATATGTAGATATTGTGCATTATATATATTTTGTATACACAGTAATAGGTATTGTGCATATATGTATACATTATATGTGTGTATATTATTGTGCATGTATGTATACATTGTGTATACACAATAATATGTATTGTGCATATATGTATACATTGTATATGTAGATATCGTGCATATATATGCATTGTGTATACACCGTAATATGTATTGTGCATATATGTATACATTATGTATGTATATATTATTGTGCATAAATGTGCATATACATGAATATATAAGAGCTGTGCAAACCTTAAAGCATTAGCATTAGCGTATAATTACAATTTAGGTGCCATCAGAGCATGGTCTAGTAGCAGACTGAGCGCCCCCTTGTGGTCTGTGGGAATACTGCGGCTTTGTTTGCTTTTTGTTTTTAAAAGAAGGTTGTTTCCCTTTAGGCACCAATATCCGAGCTGACAGGGCGATTGGGCTTGTGGTTGTGAATATACCACCATCTGGTGGACATTTAGGATATTGCACTCTCTATTTGGATAAGTAATACACTGATACTATATATGTAATACATTATATTATATATATAATATAATATGCAAATACACTGCATTGCTATAAATTCTGAGATTATTATAATAGCTAACATTTATTAAGCGCTTGCTATGTGCCTGGTACTGTGCTGAGAGCTTTACAATTATCTCATTTGATCCTCACAACAACTCTGGGAGGCAGGTGCTATCATTATCCCCATTTTACAGATGAGGAAACTGAGACAGGCAGAGGTGAAGTGACTTGCCCAGGGTCATACCGCCCAGGGTAACTGCGTGAGGCAAGATTTGAACTCGGGTTTCCCTGCCTCCAGGTCCCCTGTACCACCTCGCTGCCTCATGAAAGTCTTTGGTAAAGGTAACAAAGTGTCCCAGGAAAGTTTAAGAGATTTAAGTTGTCTTGGGGAAGGCTTCTTTCTTGGAGGAGGGGAAGACCTGAGCTGTGCCTTGAAGGAAGGGTTTGGGGACGGATTGTGTGGCTCTTCTGTGACCACGATGGAGAAAGATAGAATGTCTACACCACCTTTGGGGTTCCCGAGCCCTTCTCCACTCAAGAACTCTGAGCAACGGCTGGTCCACACTACAACTTTAGGACGCTAATGATCCGGCATGTTCGTCCCTTCTGGCAGAGGGGCGACGGACTAGAGGATGCCGCTCGCAGACGTGGCCAACGTGTGTTACTGACCCTGCTTGTTTGTCACAGGGGAGGGCTTTTGTCTTCTGTTTCTTAGGGCAAGAGGTGGAGGAAATAGGGAAGGAGGGATAGCAGTACTAACAAAGAAGAAGAAAAGAGTGGCAGGGAATCATTTTTTAAAAATACACAGAAGAGAGCAAAAACAAGTTCAGAAAGGGACACAGACAAGCAGGGCAGACAAGTGTGGTTACTCCCATGTTAAATTGGAATTAATTAAAGAAACCAATAAGATGTACATAGTGGGGGGGGGAATCTGCGCATAACACTATCTCTATATGTATGTGTGTATGCATGTATCGTTTAACCCTAACTGCCTTTTTTCTATATATGATGAAATATTCTTGTTTGGTGATGTTTAAGTTTGTAATAAAAGTGAAAACTTTTAAAAAGCACTATGGAATTTTTAAAAGACTCCAACTGGACAGAGGCCTGGGACCAGTGTCACAACCACTATATATAAAAGTGGGATTTGACTCAAGAGGTAATGCTTTTTTCTGGCCATAGTATCTATCATATTGTCTCTTTCAAACAGAGGAAATCAGGGGAGGCTTCCTGAGAGAGGTGACATTTGAGTTTGAGGTTCAATAAAGGATGGGTAGCAAATGTACAAAAGTATTTGCAGCAGGTCTTTTTTGTGGGTGGCAAAGAATTGGAAACTGAGAGAATGCCTGTCAGTTGGGGAATGGCTGAACAAGTTTTAGTATATGATTGTTTTGGAATATTATTGTGCTGTAAGAAATGATGAAGAGGGGGCAGAGCCAAGATGGCAGAGAAAAAGCAGTGACTTGCTTGAGCTCTCCCCCAAACCTCTCCAAATACCTATAAAAAAATGGCTCTAAAATTCTAAAGCAGCAGAACCCACAAAAAGACAGAGTGAAACAAATTTCCAGTCCAAGACAGCCTGAATGGTTGATCAGAAAGGTATACTGCGCTGGGCTGGGAGAGGAGTGCAGTTCGGGGTGGGCGCGCAGGCCGCAGCGACCCTGGAGCAGGCCTCAGAGGACTGAATCGCAAGCAGCTGTGGTGGTTTCCGGATTTCTCAACCCATGAACGCCAAAGACAACTTGG